GTGTGACAAAATAAAGGTTTGCTTTGGAGATATTTCCTCAAATATTTTCAAACAATGACTGGTTGAATCCATGGCAAGATGGTTGTATAAAGAACTCCTCTAGCATTTTTGAGATGAACTGAGAAAAGTAAATTTCTAGCACAAGCTTTCATGGATTTTAATTCCCTTCATCACTTGGAAATATTGTGGAGTTAGAAATATAAAGCAATCATCATACAACGGAATTGGAAACTACTCAGTGTGAAATGTTTTCAAAGAGGGAGAAAAATGGAGGGGTGTCAAGGACCTATAGTTCTGCCCCAGGTGAATCAATTAGCAGCACAGAGAAGTGAAAGATTTAAACATTTGTGGCTAAATATTGTCAGGGATGGAAAGCTTTATGTACATGAGTTAGAAGCATAATATTGGAGGTCCCCATTACATTCTCTGATCACTTCGTTTCCAACTGTGGGTCAGATATTAGGGATTTTTCTCCCTCTCTCCTCCAACACACATTCTTCAAACAGGGTTTCTTAAAACCACATTGGTGTCTGGAAAGCCTACTAGAACATGGAGGCATCTCTGCTGTGACCTCTATCACTCAAAAAAGCTATGTTTTCCTCCATGGCAGTAATGTCAATATTTCTTTGGGAGATTGCGGTCACAGCCCTGAAGAGAAGGGGGTAACCCTTCCTTCCCCAGCAGTGATCCCTGCTGGGGAGTTTTAAGAAACCATATTTATAACAAGAAGGGATTTGGGGGAAGTGTTGTTGCTAGGGTGGGAAGGGAAGAACTAGTTCTCCCCTTCCCAGTAGTCCCAGGTCACTGCAAACCAGTTTTAAAAAGAGTCCTTGCAGTGGGAAGATTGCCTGTGAGTGTAAAGAAGTGTGTGGATGTGTGCTAGTGAATTGTTTTGGGGGGATCATATTAGGGAAGGTGCTAAATGCCACTAGTGAGGTACCCCTACCCTTGCTCGGTTTATCTTCCTCTGCACTCTTGCCTGGGTCAGAAATCATTCGCCAAATCAGGCCTGTAGCTAGAGGGGCAGGTTTAAGGGTTCAAACCCCCCCCCTGAAATGTTTCAGGTTAAAAAAAAATCCTGGTTTACTCATGAGTTGGTTAATCAGTTAAAATTCATGAGTAAACCAGATTTTTTTTATCGCCTGAAACATTTAGGGAGGGGAGTTGAACCCTTAAACCACCCCCTCTGGCTACAGGCCTGCCATGAAGCCATATGGAGTGGGGGGGGGGGGACTGTAGTAACCTATGGATGTGAGAGCTGGTCCATAAGGAAGACTGAGCAAAGTAAGATAGACACTTTTGAATTGTGGTACCGGAGGAAAATTCTGAGAGTGCCTTGGACCACAAGAAGATCCAATCAATCCATACTCCAGGAAATAAAGCCCAACTGCTCACTGGAGGGAAAGAAATTAGAGGCAAAGATGAAGTACTTTGGCCATATAATGAGAAGACTGGGAAGCTTGGAGAAGACAATGATGCTGGGGAAAATGGAAGGAAAAAGAAAGGGAGGATGACCAAGAGCAAGATGGATATTATCCTTGAAGTGACTGGCTTGACCTTGAAGGAGCTGGGGGTGGCCATGGCTGACAGGGAGCTCTGGCGTGGGCTGATTCATGAGGACACGAAGAGTCAGAAATGACTGAATGAATAAACAACAACAAAAAGGGGGAGAACATTTAATTGGTTAATTGCAGAGCAAACCGATGCTTCATCAGCCTATTAAAATGTATCAGAATATCAACAACCCTGTGGGCAAGCATTCCCTTGGTGTGTCTAATGTCCCTGCATTTCTAGAAATATGGAATGATTTTATTTTGCTTCTCTTGGGTTTCAAAAGGTTGATTCTTTTTTTCTTTTTCTTTTTGAAAAAAAGAGCAGAAATACCATAGTTGCCTGAACTAGTCAGATTATTATTATTTTCTTTATATTATTTTTTATCTCACCTGTTATAGGGAGCAATGGTAGTTAATAATAAATGCAAAGCAACACTAAATAAAACAACACAAATGCATTAAAATATAAAAATTTTAAAACAATTAACTCATATTAACCTGCACCAGTCTACCTTTAAGGCAGGCCGCTTTCTGACTTATCATCTTCTGTCTCTTTGGGTGTTTGGATGGATCCTGAGCAGCTAATTTCTTCAAGGTGTTGAGTCAGGGTGAAGTTGCTCAAGGTGAATAAGGTCTCAAATCTCATAGCTTTTGAAAAAGCATGACCTTTTAGAAAACCAGAATCTCCATAATCTTTTGGAGAAAAATGGTATTCACAACAATTTGAAAATCATAACCTTTTGTAAAAGTATGATCTTCCAGAGAAGAGCCAAAAACTTGTTTGAGTAGAATCTTCTCTTCAGTGGTATATATCCACATGTACTTATGCAAGGCAATTTGGCTTTCAACTGTTAAACTGATAACAAAGTTATCTCTAATCAGTTAGGAACAGAGATTATGCCAATGCACAAAAACAGCAGTTTCAGAAGTGTTCTTTTCAGTGTCCAAAATCATCTACTCTCCCATAAAACATCTTGTTTCTGTATCATGTTCTCAAGAGACAAAAATAACGTAGATTTCATTAAAAGTAACATATCCAGTTCACTCACAACCTTCATGTATTCAGCACACAGATACATAACTTGTCAATTCAGTTACAGATAGGATTTGAAGTAGTTTCTCTATGTAGAAAACATAGGGCATCTTCCTTATGATCTTAACAGTCCAAAGTCTAAAGCATCTCTTGGAATCTGTGCTCTAATGGAGTCTGAGATTTGAGCAGTCCCAGATCTGATCATGTGGTCTGCAGACCCTCCCACAAGCTCAAGAAACATAGAGTAAAGGGAAAGAAAGCTGCATACCAGAACATACATACAATACTATAAGCAAACAGAATCATATACAAAACAAATTACTAGTGGAGGCTTGAAGAAGGTTGCTATTTCCAACAGTTGCCGGCTTCCTTCTCATCTTGGGGGGGGGGGGGTTCTTGGAGACTTTCCCATGGCTTCCCTCATGTCAGAATCCTGAATGATAGGATCTAGCACTTTGGAGGGCTCCAAGTTTGGGAGGAAACTCAGTTTGGACTAATGTCAAAGGCACTTTGTTGTTGCTGTGTGCCTTGAAATCCTTTAGGCTTATGATACCCAATCACAAGGTGTTGGGTTTCATCCTTGGATTGCACAAGTCTCCTGTGTCATCAAGTCTCCAGACTTCAATGAGTAGATGGACTAGAAATAGGATTAGGCTGAGGGATTCCTCCCCCACATTCCTATGCATGTTTACCAAAAGGGCTTTGTCTTTCCTCCTTCTGCCAGCCACAGTCTCCTTCCCCTTTTGAAGATGTAGCAATGGAATCTCTGTGAGGGAATTTCCTTTTTAAAAGGCATTTTTATTGACCTGGGCTTGGCCATATGGCCATCTGCCACCATTGTTCTCTTCTGCCTTTTCTTCCTTCCAGTAAGGGCACATATTTTGCCTCTCTCTAGGCAAAATGTAGCTGCATGGATTTTTTTTTACTTTTTTACCATTTTTACCTTTCTTAGAAGATGAGACTGTAGTGAGCTAGTGAGCTCCAAGATCTTTTCTATCTAGAATGTATTTCTTTGACTTCAATAAATATTGTTGAACCTGACTCTGCAATTCTGTGCCATCCTATGGAGAGAAAGCTTATCCTATCTTGCCACAGGTAAATTTCTGCTGGTTATGAAGTTTGCTTCTATACTCTGCTATATTTATGGTGGAATCACCCCAACTGAGAGTTATTTTAGAGCCTAACAGCTCAGATTCCCCAACACAAGGTTTCCCTGACTTAGAGAGCCTGATTTGCCCCAGGTCACGTAGGGGGTTTCCATGGCTGAACCCTGAGGAATTCAGAGGTCTGGGTCTGTTTAGCTTGGAGAAAAGAAGGCTGATTGGGGAGATGATAGCCATGACAGGCTTTGGACTGGGTTGTCAGTTGCTAAATCAGACTTTGATTCAGCTACATGATAATAATAATGTTTTAAATGTATTTTAATCGAATGTTTTGTCTTTTGTATAATGTACCTGATGTGTTGTATGTTGTTGCTTGAGATAGTGCTTTCAGTTCTGGAGGGACTCTTAATTTTTTGCGTCTCATAGACGTAGCATGGGGATTTGGTTAACCAGTTAAAATTCATGAGTAAACCAGGTTTTTTTTTAACCTGAAAAATTTCAGGCTACAGACCTGTGTGAGAGGCTTCTCTCATGTCCTGGCATGGAGAGTTGGAGCTGACATACAGGAGCTCACCCTGTTTCCTGGTTTGTGTGTGTATGCGTGTGTGTGTGTATCAGGAGCAACTTGAGAAACTGCAAGTCGCTTCTGGTGTGAGAGAATTGGCCGTCTGCAAGGATGTTGCCCAGGAGACGCCTGGATGTTCAATGTTTACCATCCTGTGGGAGGCTTCTCTCATGTCCTGGCATGGGGAGCTGGAGCTGACAGACAGGAGCTCACCCCGCTTCCTGGTTTTGGGTGTGTGTGTGTGTATCAGGAGCGACTTGAGAAACTGCAAGTCAGTTCTGGAGCAAGAATTGGCCGTCTACAAGGACGTTACCCACAGGACAGCCGGATATTTGATGTTTTATCATCCTGTGGGAGGCTTCTCTTATGTTCCCGCACGAGAGCTGGCACTGACAGATGGGAGCTCATCCCGCTCCGCCAACCTGTCGGTCAGCAGTCCTGCCGGCACAAGGGTTTGACCCATTGCGCCACGGGGACTTCTTTCCTGGGGGTAAGAGCTGTCCCACTGGAATAGGCCACCTGGGGGAGTGTGTGCGTGCACTGGAGCCTCCTTCTGTCGAAGTTGCTGAGCAAAGCCTGGCTGGCCACCTGTGAGGCATGCTTTGGTTGTGTGTTCGTACATAGCAGGAGCCTCATCCTGTGGTGCCGGTGGGACTTCTCCCAAGTTCTTTCCTCCCCGCACAGCCTGGCTCCGTGGCTCCTCCTCCCCGCCCGCGGCCGAGAGAGGCGGGCGCCCAAAGCAGAGGCACAAGCAGCCCAAGCCCAGCCTCGGAAGGAAGGAAGGGAGGAAGGAGAGGACGGAGAGGCATCGCCACCGCCTCCACCTCCGGCGGCAAGCATGGCTCTGGGGAACGGCTCTGGGGCTTCCCTCCCCGCCAACAGCTCGCACCAAGGCTCCTCCAGGAATGGGTCCAGTAAGTCCCGGAGGGTCCAGGGCTGGGGAAGGACGGGGCGGGGGTCGCGTTGGCGTCTTCGACCCACACGCACTTCCCCTACTTGCCCCAATCACACACACACCCTTTGATGGGGCCCACTGCTGAGGTGCATCTAAATGCAGTCCCACCCCAGCTCAATGCTATGGCGTTCTGGGAGTTATCGTTTCACAAGGTCTCTTCGCCTTCTCGCACCAAACTGCACATCTCAGGACCCTGGCAATTCAAGTGGGGTCAAACTGGATGCAGCCCTGGATAGGAGTCGCAAGGAGGGAACCAAAGACAGCTGAGCAAAGAAAGGAAGCGCTCCAAAGACGAAAAGGTGCCTGAAGAATGGAACTGGGGTGGGCACGAGTGTTTCTTCCGCGCCTGCCTTTGAGAAATAGAGTCTGTGTGCTGGGTATAGCCATCCTTTCCCCCGCCGTTCAAGCTCTGGGTCTCTTTCTCTCTCTCTCTCTCTCATCGTCACCTGCTGCAACAGGTTGAGGGCTTCCTCTCCTTCAGCACCAGCGGCCTTGGACAGCTCCCGTGGCTCGCTCTCGGCTCGCTCGGTTTGCCCTGCAAAGCAAGGGGCGCCACGGCGGGTGGGTCTGCGAGGGAGAGCCACTTACCTCCCAGCAGGCTTGATTTCACACCCTGAAAGGCCCTTTCTTCTCTTGGAAGCTAAGCTGGGTCAGCCTTGGTTGGGTGGAAAGCTGCCAAGGTCAAACAGGAACCCTAGGCTCTCTTGCAGAGGAAGGAACTGGGCAAACCACCTCTGAGTGGCTAAGAAAAACCTCTGAAATGCATGTCCTCGCCACCCATCAACAGGTGACAAGACTACTGCAGATATGGATGCCTTTCTTTATGATTCCTTCCCGTTAGTTGGCAAGGACCTGTTGCAGAGCTGCAACAAGTCCTTGCTGACTAACGAGAAAGAATCATAAAGAAATTATTATTATTATTATTATTATTATTATTATTATTATTATTATTATTATTTACTTAGGCGATCCCTTGTAGACCGAGGATGATAGTCCTCCAAGTGCAGTGCCTTGGCGGTGGATCCCTCGGTGTCTGTAGAGCCCTATTCTTGATCCGCATGTTCTCTTGCAGTGAGGACATCAGTTTCCAGGTAGAAGGTGGTCCTGGTCAGAGTTGGCTTGACACTCCTTCCTCTTGGCACATTTCCCCCTTTTGCCCTCCATTGTCCTTCTTCATATTCTGCAGCACTGCTAGTCACAGCTGACCTCCATTTAGAGCACTCAAGAGCCAGGGCTTCCCAGTTCTCAGTGTCTATGCCACAGTTTTTAAGATTGGCTTTGAGACCATAACAACAACAACAGCAATGTGTAGTTGAAGGTTTTCATGGCCAGAATCACTGGGTTGCTGTGAGTTTTCCAGGCTGTATGGCCATGTTCCAGAAACATTCTCTCCTGATGTTTTGCCCACATCTATGGCAGGCATCCTCAGAGATTGATGGGTCTATTGGAAACTAGGCAAGTGAGGTTTATCTATGGAATGTCCAGGGTGGAAGAAAGAACTCTTGTCTGCTAGAGGCAAGTGCAGTTAACCAGCTTGATCGAAATCCACAAGCATGTGGGCAATTCAACAGAAAGTAGGAAACCATGAAAATGAACAAAATCTGGCTACCAGTATTAAAAAACCCTCTAAAATCAGGACAGTACATAAAGAGCAACACTGAAAAAGCAGGGGAATTCCAGACAGGAAACAATCAGTGCCAGCTAACACCTCCCAACAAAGGATTCCCCCAGGCAGCAACCAGCCAGGCTTTGGAGCTGCAAAGCCATTTAGTGCTCATCAAGGTGGCCAGCTGCAACATTCACACTTGCCTCCAGCAGACAAGAGTCCTTTCCCCCACCCTGGACATTCCACAGATATATAAACCTCCCTTGCCTAGGTTCCAACAGACCTCACAACCCCTGAGGATGCCTGCCATAGATATGGGTGAAACGTCAGGAGAGAATGTTTCTGGGACATGGCCATACAGCCTGGAAAACTCACAGCAACCCAATAATAACAATAATAATGAATTTATTACCCCCTCTCCCTGTGGCTCGAGGTGGGATACAACATCATTAAAGCAAGAGAAAGAAAGGCATCGATGTCCTGGATTACCCTCTTATATTAGGGCTGTCAAGTCCCAAACCCTTAAGCTATAATTTCTCTTTCCTCTGTCATTCATTTTAGAAATTAGTTAGCCTTTCCACCTATTAAAGGTTTCTAATCCATTTAACAGCGTGCTTGTAAGCTACTGATTGGCAGCCTGTGCTTGGCTACTCAGAAGCAATCTTATTGGATTTAGTGTGTCTTACTCTCATGTAAGCCTGTGAAGAACTGCAGGCTAAGCAGATGTAGATAATGTTTTTAAGGTGATTAAAATGAAAGCAATTTATTCCAATAATGCCAAACAGAACATTTCATTTGTTGTTCAAAAAGGACATTTAAATAATCTGCCATCAAGCATTAACTTTAAAATCTTTTTCATGACTTCAGGCAGGTCATACATTAAAAACCACATATAAAATAGAGTTCTAAGTGGGTGGTTAAATAATTACTTGGTGATATACGTTAAACTTAGCCATTCTTTCTTTCAAAATATGTCTCTCTCAATATCAATTTGCCAACAATGGTGTTGGTTTTTGCACTGGCAAAAGATTGCATAACTCAGAGCCAGTGGTGACAATGACAGCAACACTAATGACAAACACACAGCTTAAAGAGACATTAAAAAGAAATCAAATATTAGATCTATGGACAGGAAAACTGACAACTGAAGACTGTAGTACAACAAATATTTCTTATCAAGTAAGACTGCAATCCTCAATATGCTTCCAAAAATGCTCCTACTGAAATCCTCCAGACTTACTTCTCAGTAGACCAGATGGTAATTGGGGGGGAAGACCCACTTTCAGGCCCAGAGCTGTGTTGCCTGTGTAGGAGACTTGTTAAGAATGATAAAGTAGGATAAATGTCAGGATGGGAGGTTTGGAGGCTGATAATTAAGCATGCAATGACTGAAGTTTGTAGCTTCAGACCAATTAGGTCTGTGTTGTTGTTTATTCATTCAGTCGCTTCCAACTCTTCATGACCTCATGGACCAACCCATGCCAGAGCTTCACATCCCCAGCTCCTTCAGAGTCAAGCCAGTCACTTCAAGGATGCCATCCATCCATCTTGCCCTTGGTTGGCCCCTCTTCCTTTTCCCTCCCATTTTCCCTAGCATCATTATCTTCTCCAAGCTTTCCTGGTGTGGCCAAAGTACTTCATCTTTGCCTCTAATATTCTTCCCTCTAGTGAGCAGTCTGGCTTTATTTCCTGGAGTATGGACTGGTTTGATCTTCTTGCAGTCCAAGGCAGTCTCAGAACTTTCCTCCAGCACCACAGCTCAAAAGCATCGATCTTCCTTCGCTCAGCCTTCCCTATGGTCCAGCTCTTGCATCCATAGGTTACTATGGGGAATACCATTGCTTTGACTATGTGGATATTTGTTGCCAGTGTGTTGTCTCTACTCTTCACTATTTTATCGAGATTGGTCATTGCTCTCCTCCCAATTGGGTCTGTATTGGATTACACTTGCATATGAGTCAAGCATACATTATTTGTTTTTAGCTGATACACACATATTATTGCCAGCAGTGTCTGAGATGAGTTATAATAGTTTTTTTGTAAAATAAAAAGTGGGGAAGGAGAGAGAACTCCTCTTTTAAGGTGCAGCTTTGAATGAGCAGTTTTTTTGCCTACTTGTATTTAAAATACTATATAATATGCAGGGGCGGCTCAACCCATTACACAAAGTAAGCATTTGCAGTATAGTTGATTTTGCCCAGGGGCGCTCTTGAGGCGCTCTTGGGGGAAAATAGACCTTGACATATGTGAGTTGTAGTTACTGGGATGTATAGTTCACCTACAGTCAAAGAGCATTCTGAACTCCACCAATGATGGAATTGAACCAAATATGGCACACAGAACTCCCACAACGAACAGAAAATATGTATCAGTGATTGGTTGGGGGGGGGGGGCAAAATACTGTTTGCTTACCATTGAAAATTACCTAGGGCCACCTCTAATATGGAGGAAGAAACATTCATTGTTGTAATGAAGTCAGGACACTATTTTACTTGTTCAAAATATTTCTCACAGAATGAGGTCAGGAAGTAAAGAGTTAAAAGTTTCAGCCTGAATAAAAATATATTAAAATGATAAGAGGCTTGAAAAATTGAAGGTCATAACTTAAAAAAAATGTACTGGTTTTATTGAAAATTGGCATTTGTTTCATCATCATTTTTCACACTTTGTGTTTGACATTTCCACATTGTAATATGTGATTGAATGAAATTAGTATTGGAATTGGTAATGACATTTGTGAAAGAACAGTGTATTAGTCATTTTATTGTGATTATCAAATTTGGCATCCAAATATACGTTAAAAACAGCTACAGTATTAAAAACAGTTTTTCATCACAGACCTGTGAAGGGGGAAACACAAGATAAGGGTTTGAATGAGAAGATGCATTGAAATAGTCTAATAAAGGCCACTTGACATGTTAAATGGAGGCAAGCCTGAATTTGCTCCCAGGTGTATACTGAAGCAGGGAACTACAGCGGACTGTGTAGTAAACTCATGAGTATACATAGTTGTTGCAATCACACTTATATTTACACAAGTGAATCACAATTAAGACTGCATAGGTGTATACCTAAAATGGTAACATGTGCCTTGGGCTTGCATTTCCCAGTTATGTGAAGAAGGGAAGAAAGCTAACATCAAACACCTTCAGGTCCGATGCCTGGTAACGAAACATCCCCATCTGGAAGTACCTTCAAATCAATCTGTTTCAGAGTCCTCTTTTCACTGAACAGCGTTTTCTTCTTGACATACATTTGTGAATCCTTTGTAAATAGAGACTGAAGGCAGAAGGTAGAATAGGCAGATAACATCATTTGGAATTATTTGGATGATAGCTGACTTTCACCAAATAGCTCTTTTAACTTAAATAAGGGGCTGGACTGGGAAGAGAAAGGATCCGGCCAACTTGCTGTTGCTTATGAGAAGCTCTCTTCCCATATATTGTTGAAGGCTTTCATGGCCAGAATCACAGGGGTGTTGTGTGGTTTCCGGGCAGTATGGCTATGTTCTAGCAGCATTTTCTTGTGTGACGTTTTGCCTGCATCTGTGGTTGGCATCTTCAGAGGATCTGATGGTAGTCAAACAAGTAGAGTATCTTTATACACCTGTGGAATGTCCAGGGTAGGAGGAAGAACCATTTTTAATATTTTGATGTTATATCTCATGCTTAAATTGAAGGTACAAATGACATCTAAACATTAACAAAACAGAAACTCTGTAAAACAGGTTATCTATCTGGAGAAATTAAACTGTACCTCTTACAGTTTTTGAGCATGAACACCCAGAGAATTCCCAGAGTTGTAGCCTTGCAAGTATATTTTTTTCCGGCTCTGCTCATACCCAGCAATGTCTGCAGCAAATTGCAGGACAAAGGCTAAAAGTCTACATCTCCTTTGAAAAATATCTTTCTGTGAGTGCCTTTCTAACCCTTCCTTTGATGCTTTTCATTTCTTTGCCAAACCATGATTTGTGTTCAGCATTGCCTTATCTCCCAGATGACACTGAGGATAGGTCAGGAAATGCCTTAGTTACCCTGTGCCTTGCCATAATATTCGTGAAGAAGAGTCACAGATGCAAAAACCTAGGCCCCTTCCATACAGCTGTATAAAATCCACATTGAACTGGTTTATATGACAGTGTGGACTCAGATAACCCAGTTTAAAACAGATATTGTGGATCATCTGTCTTCATATTCAGGTTTCTAGAAGGTAAAATATTCCTAACAATTTTTGGTATTCATAGAAACCCGGATGAAACTGGGGTGGGGGTGGGGGGTGGGGGTGGAGTAGCAAAGGAACTATGCAAGCACCCAGTCGGCAGTAGTATAATTGGGTGGGAGAAATAAGGGGCTCTTGACTTAATCCCCCTGCTTCTAAGCAATGAGAAATAGGCAGGGGGCATCTGCTTCAGAATAGTTGGAACAGGATTGTGTGGGCTAGGTGGTGCTGGCTGAGAAACAATAGCTCTCTTTCCATTTTGCTCTGCGTATGATGGAGAGTTAATCAAACCTCCGTAATGAGCCTGGGGTGCTTTCTTTAGATTAATAACCATTTGGGAAAGAGTGACTCCAGAGTTTGTCACTATTGAAATGTGGGCAGGTAATTAATCCTCCTTGAAATGATCCATACCAACACCTGTTTCCCTGTAATTGGCAAGGGAGGTAAATGACCATGGGAGAGGGGGAAAGAATGTATTGTTATATGATATTTTGGGTGGATGATATATTGTGTAAACAGAAATTTGGGGAGCATTTCTTCAAATACCATAAGATGAATATTTTTTCTTTAAACCTAACTCTCACACAGCCAATATAGGTTATATAATGTGGAATTCTCCTTGCAGCATATGCCAGCATATACTTCCTTATTGAGCATTTAGTTCTACCTTAGTGTATAAGAGGCAGGCTTACTCATAGAATCCTAGAGTTGGAAGAGACCTCATGGGCCATCCTGTCCAACCCTCTGCCAAGAAGCAATTCAAGGTGCTGGCGTTGGCCTATAAAGCCCTAAACGGTTCCGGCCCAAGATACCTTTCTGACCGCATCTCGGCCTACGAGCCCACGAGGACTTTGAGATCGTCCGGGGAGGCCCTGCTCTCGATCCCGCCTGCCTCACAGGCACGCCTGGCGGGGGCGAGAGACAGGGCCTTCTCGGTGGTGGCTCCTCGGCTGTGGAACACCCTTCCCGTGGACATCAGATTAGCTCCTTCCCTGATGATATTCCGCAGGAAACTAAAGACTTGGCTGTTCAAGAAGGCGTTCGAACAAGAAGTGCAATAATTGGTAATGACGACAGGAATGGAACAACGGAAAATGATACTGGATTGTGGTTTAATGATGAGACGATGTGAATGACTTTTGTATTATTGATATTGTTGATGTTTTGATGATGATGTTTTTTGGTATTCTTAGATTGTTTTTAGATTGTGTCTTGTAATTTGCACCCTGTCCCTTCTATGTTGTACACCGCTGTGAGTCGCCCCCGGGCTGAGAACAGCGGTATACAAGCAGAGTAAATAAATAAATAAATAAATAAGCAGGAAAATCACATTCAAAGCACCCCTGACAGATGGCCATCCTGCCTCTGTTCAAAAGCCTCCAAAGAAGGAGCCTCCACCACACTCTGGGGCAGAGAGTCCCACTGCTGAACAGCTCTCACAGTTATGAAGTTCTTCCTAATTTTCAGGTGGAATCTCATTTCCTGTAGTTTGAAGCCATTATTCCTCGTCCTAGTCTCCAGGGCAGCAGAAAACAAGCCTGCTCCCTCATCCCTGACTTCCCCTCACATCTTGATACATGGCCATCATGTCTCATCTCAGCTTTCTCTTCTGCAGGCTTGCCAACTTCTTTTCTAATAAAAAAATGTGTATGGCTGTGCATATGGAAGAAATTCAGCAGATGATGCTTTCTGGGTATCCATGCTAAGATACACATTTCTGCTTGTCATTAAACTACAGCTATCCTCAGAGCTCCAAGAGATGGGAAAAGTTCTGGTAATCTACATGCTATAAATCACTGAGAAATAGAAAGATGTTCATGTATTCAGGATGCTGCTAGGGAAATTCATATCAGCAGGAGGAGGTTCAAAATTCCTGGCAGGCATATAGGGGTTAGATAGCCAGCTGAAATTAGAGCATGTGTCTTTTACAGCTTTAACAATTTTACTAGAGAACAAAATTTCAGCTGGTGGTGCTTGCCTTCAAAAGGACACATGATGGAATTCACTTTTCCGCACAACTATTAAAGCTACAGGAGGCCATGGAGACCCACTGAGTGGCGTCAGCCAAGATACACTAAGAGGAGTAAAATGCTTTGCTATATAATTCTAAAAGACATTTAATGTGCCTAAGAAAGCCAGTGTGGTGTAGTTATCTGAGTGTTCAAATTCCCAGTTGGTCATGGAAACCAACGTAAGGACCTTGGCTAAGTCACACTCTCTCGGCCTCAGAGGAAGGCAAAGGCAAACTTTCTCTGAACAAATCTTGCCAAGAAAGCTCCATGACACATTTGCCTTACTGTTGCCATAAGTTGGAAATGATTTAAAGGTAAGTAATAGGCTTTTATTTCTTATTTGACAACCCTACTGATCAAGAGCGAAAATCTTGACTCCATGATATCCATTGTAGTCAAATCCATCATAAAGGGAACTTGGGCAAGAGGGAAACAATATGTTTCAGTGCTGTGTGACATGTAAAGGGAACAGTGATCTCTATCATGCTAGAAAATGAATCCACTTTAAATCTGGTTTCTGCCTCCTGCAGAATTCTGGGATTTGTAGTTTAGTGAGGCTGTTAAAGGGTCCTCCCTAAACTACAAACCTCAGAATTCTGCAGGAGGCGGCAACTGGATTTAAAGTGGATTCATTCTCAAGTGTGACGAGGCCCTTGACTACATCAGACAACATGGGCAAGCTTTTATGAGAATTAGGCTGAGCCTTGGGCATTTCTATTGCTGCTTGGTATGAAGCAATATCCTGAACACAGCCTGCTCTCCATTTTGTTTGGGAGAGGGGTCACTGGGTGGGAATGTCCATGTCATCCTATCATAGAAGCAATGTTGGCTACTAAACTGCCAGCAAAAGTGGGAATCAGACTATGAACCACTCATAATAAAACATTTTTAGATGTGACTCATATACCAGGTACCAATCTGGTCCTATGTGATGACTCAATAATGTGTTCAAGACAGAATGTATAAATGTTACTTCTTTGGGCTGCAGTTTTCAGAATCGGCCATAAGGTTTCTAATGAAGGATCTATCAGAATAGACCATATTTAAAGGTTTCTAATGAAGGAGGGTCACCATCATCTGAACCAGTCTGTTTCACAGTCAAACAACTCTTACAATACATAATTTCTTCCCAATGTTCAGATGGAGCCTTTTTCCCCCTTGCAATTTGAAGCCATTAGCTTCTGTTTTTATGGAGCAGCAGAAAATAAACTTATTCTACGTTCTACATTACATCTTCATTGTCCGGGAGCTCTAGTCTCTAAGAGCAAACTTTACACATTCTAGTTTTTTAAATTGTGCTGCATAAATGTTGATTTATTATTAAACAATCAATTCAGTGATTGTACGCTATTTCGTATAGCAACTGTTTAACAATAAGTCAACATTTATGTTATTCCCATTGGTTCCACGGGACTACCCTGGTTGGGGCCAGCAATTATATTCTACACTAGCCGTCCTCTGCCATGTGTTGCTGTGGCCCAGTCTGTGTATATGTGTTTTGTGTGTGTATATATGCATATATGTGTGTATATATATTTGTGTATATATCCGTTATATATATATATATATATATATATATATATATATATATATGGTTTTCTGCATGTGTTGTAATGTATTTTTTTTTGGCTTTTTGGCTTTTTAAAGTCTCTTCTGATGTGTTTTTCAGTGTTTTGATGAGTGATGGTCACTCGTTGGTCTGACAGGTGTATTGTGTCCAAATTTGGGATCAAGTCATCCAGTGGTTTTTGGGTTATGTTAATCCCACAAATGAACATTACATTTTTATTTATATAGATGGTTAAATAAATAGAACTTCAAGGGGCTACATTGGTATTTGCAGATATTTATATATTGTCCTTGTCCTTTTTTCACAGTGGTGGAAAGGCCAACTCCGTACACCAACGTGATTATGCCTAGTTTGTTCGGCATCATTTGTTTCCTTGGCATAGTTGGGAACCTGATTGTGATATATACCATTATCAAGAAAAAGAAACTGAGATGCAAGCAGACCGTGCCTGATATCTTCATTTTCAACCTCTCCATTGTGGACCTGCTTTTCCTGCTGGGCATGCCCTTCCTCATCCATCAGCTCCTTGGCAATGGTGCTTGGTATTTTGGGTCTCCTTTATGCACCATCATCACTGCTCTGGACACCAACAGCCAAATCACCAGTACTAATATCCTGACCGTCATGACCCTAGACCGTTACCTGGCGACTGTCTACCCCCTCAAGTCCACTTACGTCCGGACACCGTATGTGGCAGCCTTGGTGATTGGTTTGGTTTGGCTCCTTTCTTTTCTTACCATCATCCCTGTGTGGATGTATGCAGGGCTGATGCCTCTGGAAGATGGGACTGTCCGGTGTGCTCTTCTGCTGCCCAACCCAGAGACTGATATCTACTGGTTCACCATTTACCAGTTCATGCTGGCTTTTGCTATCCCACTGTTCATTATCTGTGTGGTCTACTTTAAGATCCTTCAGCATATGGCCACCACAGTAGTGCCCTTACCCCAGAGGAGTCTCCGTGTCCGCACAAAGAAAGTCACCCGGATGGCTGTTGCCATCTGCTCTGCCTTCTTTATTTGCTGGGCCCCTTTCTATATCCTTCAGCTGGCACATCTTGGGATAGAGACACCTTCTGTCGCTTTCTTCTATGCTTACAACTTTGCTATTAGCCTAGGCTATGCCAACAGTTGCCTCAACCCTTTCCTCTATATTGCCCTGAGTGAGACTTTCAAGCGTCATTTCATGGTGGCCATTCGTCCAACCAAGGAGCAGTTTCGGGTCAACAATAACAACCACAGTACAACAGAGGCCAGTATGTGCTTGAAGCTTGCACCAGAATCCACCCAACAGACCCAGTTTTTGGAGGACTTTTCTCCACATGCCTTGCCTGTGGCAGTTGCTGTACGTTAGGTGGCCTTTCTGCAGGTTTGATAGTTTGCTGTTACAAGGCCATGGAATATGTTTCTGCCTCAAACTCCCACTATACACAATGGATGATCAAAACCAACAAATACTCCTAGTATGCAAGATGTGGTGTCAATGTGTAATCTATACACATTTAGCAATTGCTTCTTCAGAGAGATGATGAAAGATGGAAAGCACTGCTGACTATGCAGAGAATCAGAGAGTGCAACACAGTTTATAAGAAACCCAAGGATGTGCCAGCAGATATGCCAAAGCCATGCACATTGTCAAAACAACCATCAGATAAAGCAACATAAAAATGATGGGAAAACTTGGAAAGGCAGCATCACAACTTCTAATGAGTAAAGTAAAATGTGTCTAAAACAGAATAACATTCCTGCTACAACAGAACACCAAAACTTGTGTGCAATATTTGCAGATGTGTCAGGCCATGAATGTGGCATAATCAGGGACAATCATATAATAAAAGTCATTAAGGACTAGCGAAAGAGTATCAGTAGTTTTCTAAAGTCACACACTGAAGTATTTATGGCAAATCTTCAATACTCTCTCTCTAGCACTCTTTTTATGAACATCTGGGGCTGCTACTCAATCAGGACATCTTTTCCAACCAACGAGCAGAATTTGAACTGCAGCCCTTTATTTTGGGCTACAACTCTCACAATCCCCAATGTGCTTGTTATGCTCCAAAAAGGATTCCTTCCACTAATCTCTTGCAAGAAAATATCAGCTGTATGTTATATGCTCTGAGCTTGTATGCTCTTTTTCACATCTTTCTCACACACAGGATTTGAGGTGACAACCTAAGTGAAATATCATGGTCCACATTTGTTGACAGGCCCAGTGGGAGAAATGGTTGGCGCCACTTGGCCCGATTAAACACGAGCACACTTGAAATAGGTCCCAACTGCAGAGGTATAACCTAGCATGAGGCCAGACCCAAAGACTGGATGACCCATCTACAAGCAATGGAAGCCACTTCACCCAGCCCAACTGCTGACTAAAGCTGGGATAACAGAAATGGGATTCTGCATGAAGAGGAGCCACAGTATGATTCCCCTGTAGCTGAGGAGTGAGACAAAACCAAGAGCTTTGCATGTGGTGTGAGCCTGGTTGCTTGTACCAGTTATACCTGAAGCTGAATATGATGGCAACGCAGACACCAAATTTCTGAAACTGGGTCCAGTCTCTTTGCTCTAACTGCCAAAGTTGCGCCAATTTAACATATAACACTAACTAACCACATGGAGCTGATTTTGAAGAAGATACAAAGTATTGCAGACAGATTGTTAACTGGAGCTGTTTACAAGGATTGTACAAATCCTCAGCTTCAACAGCTCCACAGGCTGCTGGTCTCTTTCTTGGTAAACTGCTCAGCCTTGGAAGGTTTAGGACCAGCCGGTCTGACAGGCTGTATCTTCTGATATGAGCCTGTCCAGACCTAAATATCCTCAGTAGAGTCTCTTTCATGCCTACCATTTTGATGGACACAATGCATAACAGGGGCTTCTTGGTGGCTGCCCCTCAGTCCCAGAGCTCCTTTCCTAGAGAGGCTAGAATGGCCCCCTCCTGGCTGTCCATCCTTCAACAGGCAAAGACTTTTTCTATATTCTGAAAAGCTTCTGGGAACTGAAAGTTTGTAAAGAAAGGGCTTTTAATACGGTGCTGTACTGTATTAATTGTACTACATTTTGATTGTGTGTTTTAAATTGTTTCTAGTATTGTTAACTGTTTAATTCCATTTTAATTGTGATTTTTAAAATATGCTTTAACTATATATACCATTTGCTTTTTTTGTAAGCTGCCTTGAATCTGGGTTTATGACAACAAAGATGGGGTATAAATACAGATAATCTTTAACCTTACCAGCACCACTACCATTAAAGCATATCATATGGCCAGAATATATATATAGTGCATGCTGCACAGAAATAGACCCAAACAACTTCAATCAGAAAGATCAGTGGCAAGCTGCTCCAAAACTAACTGACATCAACTCAAAGAATTCCTGGCCTCTGGCATAGCGGAATGGAGCTTTTGGGAGTTGAAGAGCCTGGAGGAGCAAAGTTTGGGAATCACTGCTATAGAGAAAGGGAGAATAAGCAGAAGGAAACAGCAGATGAAATCGTTGATAATATATTAGGTCCCAAATTTTACTGTGGCCTTTGTTTTCAGATGAGCATTTTAAAGAGTGCACCCGGCGTAGTGTCTTCTGTCTCCTGCAGAAGTTTGGGAAATGTAACTTGGGAAGGCGAGGACCCCTCTAGCTGAGATTTCCAAAGCCCCCATCCTAAACCACAGAATTCTGCAGGAGGCAAAAGACACTAAGAATGTGGAGGAACCCACTTTAAACCATTCGTCTGATGAAGCCTTTAAGGCAACACACTGTTTGGGTTGAAACATGTGGATTTATATAGTTGAGCTCATAGAGCCAGTGTGATATAGCAGTTTGGGCGTTGGAGTACAACTTGGAGACTAAGGTTCAAATCCCCATTTTGCCATGGAAACCCACTGTGGCAAGTCACACTCTTTCATTCTAGGAGGACAGCAATGGCAAATCTCTTCTGATCACACCTTGCCAAGAAAACATTGTGATGGGTTCACCTTAGGCTCTCCATAAGGATAAACTGAGGAAAAAAAGTTGAGTGTGCCACCTTCAACATACTGTGTATGGATGCGATACAGATGTCATTGAGAACAAACTGAAGTTCAAAAACTGTCAAGTGAAGCTGTTTACAACATGGAGATAAACATGTGTAAAATCTTAAATGATAAAGCTCAAGCAGCTTTTACAAGCACAGGAGCAACAGTTGCTAAAAATGGTCAGCCAATGTCTAATACTAAGTTTGTTATTGGTGTTTGGCTTCAAGCCAACATGGACTTATGTTGACTCTATCGTAAGGTCTTCTTGGCCAGATGTAATAAGGGAAGGTTTGTTCTTGCCTTGCTCTTTGGCTGAAAGGGTGTGACTTGCCTAACTGGGTGTGCATACTTATTCTGGTGGTTACTAGGACAAGTGGAAGATTAAGATTAGTCTGGTTTAATAGAAATGGTCATCATGTTGACTACTGATTCATTGCTACAAAAAAAAAAACACATCAATGTACCCTTTTCCCTTTAGTACTCATCCCTACCCTCCAGTTGTTTCAGATCAAATTGTAGTCAGTTAAGGAACCTGAGAAACAACTTTGCCATACATCCCAGAGTAGGTGTCACAAAGCCTCAAATTGTTTGGGGAGATTGATCTGTCAAAACTGGACCACCAAGACTACTCTGTACTTGCCTCTCCTCAGGAATGATAAAAAAATAACCTAAGTGGTTGTCATTTTGCCTCTGCTTAGAAGGTACTCTGTTTGTTATCTGCTCCAGTTGGAGGATGAAGATTATTTTAATGCAACACATTTTGTTTTGTTAAAATATACTTGCATTGGTCAATATTTGTAATGACCTGCTTGCTAGTGTTGAACCTCGCACCTTAAAAACTATTCCAAAGTGTCTGAGTTTTATAAAGAAAGTTGGATTTGGGAAATGTTTCATTGCTTTCTCTTTACTATGGATGCAAGTGCCAAATCTGATGCGCATAACTCAACCAAGACAGTCACAACAGACCAAAACCAGCTGTTTTACAATCAAAGTGTCATCTAGCATTCATTGCCACCTCCTGAGATGACGATTGGATGCGACTTTTTAGAAACTTGATTTGGAGAGCTGTGCAAGTAATTACTTGCAACCTCTTTTTCTGTTTGAACAGAATTCAGGGAAGATGTAAACTGAAAAGAAAGAAAAAAGAATAGTGTGCATTTCATGTAAAATGTGTTCATTGTTATTTGCCGATGTAAATATAAATGAAAATGGGAACTGAAATGATTGGGTCATGATTGGAAAATTGTGTTTTTATTCTATGTTGTTCTTTTGAGAGACTTCCAAATACAACCTGAAGAATGTTTTATTGTATTTATTTGAAAGATCTATACCCTGCCTTTCAGTTAAACTCTGAGAAAGTAAGAACACAAAATAATAGAAAGAAAAGTTAGGGTAGAAGCTTCTTGCTAGAGTTTTCTACCATAACGATTAGTGTGGAGATGGCGGTGGCAGTGGGAAGAAAAAGGCCCCAGGACACCAGTCATGAAAGAAGTAAGGTACAGTGAACATGATGCTCAGAGCTGGCAGATTTTGCCTGCCTTTCCTTCCTTCAGCTATGCAACCAGGGTAAAACTGCAACCAGTAGCGTTGTGTAGCAATAGGATGTTGAGTATAAAGATTAAATGTGCCTTAACATATATAATATAGTGTGGCAGACAGCATGGTGTAGTGCAGTGCTTTCCAAACTTTTTTTGACTTGGACCAGGGACCACTTTGACCAAGGACTATTTGACCAAGGGGCTAATATTAGTACCAAAAGGGTTTCGAATAAGTTTTTGGTCAACTTTATATTTGATGCTGATTCAGAAATTTGCATTGGATAGACCACATCAGGTCTGGTTTCTGATACAGAACACATGCATGGTCAGCAACAAGGAAGGAGTGGCAAGTGGCATGAAAGGAGCAGAAATAAAATAAAAAGAGGAAGGAGGCTCACCAGATTTTCGTCCTCGCTGCCCACTGGTGATTCGCAGCTCACAGGTTAAGAATTACTGGTGTAGTGGTTTAAGCTTTGGACTGCAATTCTGGAGGCCAGGATTTAATTCCCTGCTCAGCCATAGAAACCCACTGGATGACCATGGGCAAGCCACACACTCTCACTCCCAGAGTTAGAGTTGTCATAAGTTGGAACCTATTTTAGAGTTGTCATGAGTTGGAAAGGAAGGCATACAACAACAAATAATATAATATTACATAATAGACGTATATTAAATTGTAATAAGCAGTTAAAATAACAAAATCCAGCCACAACATAATAATTCAGATTGGAGTTGTGAAAAACCAGATTTGCCTAGCAACTGTCCGTTATTGAAAATTGAACCCCAAAAATATGAACCCCAGAGTCCATGACTCCATTGGAACAGACAGTGAGCACATGTTGATCTCTCCCTTAATTCTAAACTAACTTTCAATGTTAGAATGTTGGAATGTTGCCTAACCTTTTCCCACACTCTGGACCTCAAGGGATAGCCACACATTTAGCATAATCCCTTTACAATACTCTGGAAAAGTCGCAGGGAACACATCATGGGTCACAAAGGTTGTCATAATATTATCTGATTTTATCCTGGGAACGTTTCTTCATTTATAGTGTTGCTAGACCCCCTCCCTTTAGGTCTCCATTCTACATGCCAACACCACGAGCACCTTTTGCTTACTGGACTGCAATCCATTGTATTAATTGGAGCTGAGATATCAAAACCCATTTTGACACATTATCTCTTGCCCCACGGCATTTCTTTCCAATCACATCCCTCTCCTGAGTGGACCAATAAATGGACACAAGTCTTCAAAATAGTCTCATTCAATCCTTTGGGAGCTAGGCACTCTGGGCCCTGAATCCCCAATTTTAGTGGAGGTGAAATTATATCACAATTACATTAGATAGTACTAGGAAAAAAAACCCAAGATTGTGTAGTGCTTGCAGATCTGAGTTCAAATTCCTGCTTGGACATGGACATCCATTAGATGATCCTAGGTAAGTTGCACTTTTTCAGCCACAGGAGCAAACCCTCTCTGAATAGATCTGCACAGAAAACCTGAAGTATAGAGTCACCTTAGGATTGGCATATGTTGAAATGACTTGAAATCACCAAAAAATTAACCAAGGTACTATGAGAGCTCCATGGAAACAGTATTTCCTAAACAGGATGTCAGCACTCAGAAAGCTTTTTTCTTGGTGGACCCTAGCGAGTGGAGTGGATACTGAAAGAATGATCAGTAGTCGGAGACTGGGAGACAAGTTGTATGTCGTGTTGTCAGCATAGCAATAAAGGAGAGCTGAAATGTATGACATGGAGCATTAATGGGTTAATGTTTCTGTTCAGCATAGACACCAAATGAAACTAGAGATTTCAGTTCACTGAGCCATGAAGTACTTTGTAAAATTACGATAGTATTGTCAATATTCATAAATTATATAAAGTACACATGGCTGTCTTTATGAAAAGACTACACCCTAAAATACCACCCCACTCCTCTTTTCCTCCTTGTCCTCTGTTTAGCTGGATGTTTTTAGCAGCAGCAACACTAGGAGGATTATGAAACAGAGCTAAAAAAAAATAAGACATTCGGTGTCAGATTGCAGCAGCACTGTCTGCAATAATTTGGGAGTTGGTCACTCTAGTCAAGATGCTCTCATTGTTATACAGATGCCGGTTTGAAGACCAATTGCCACAACTGCAAACATTTGGCACTGGGCATGAAACATGATTAGTGCTTTTGAAAAACCAAAGCAATAAGTAAACTTCTACCTTATTGCTTATCAAACTCAACAAGGGTCTTGTTACATTTTCAAAGAACATAAATATTTGTAGACTTTGGATGCATGAAGCATTATATAAAGTTTCAGAAATATATATACTGGACATATAGATAGGCCAAATAGGAACTCTGATGGGTTCAGGGTGGGTGGAGATTTTAGAACATGGAAGCCTCTGCAGTTGTATTGGCTCTCTTGCTAAAAGTGTTAGTTTTCATTACAACATGGTGCATACCAGTCATGCCCTTTGTTTTAAAGGTGAATTACATTTCACCTTTATATGAAAAGTGAATATTTTTTTCAAAAATGCCTAATGGCTTCAGGTGCTGCAAAAATAGTGGGGGGGGGGGGGGGGGGGGGAGGATAGGAGCTTTTAGATGGTCAATCCCTGCAGAAAGCATAGAGATGTACACAAAGGTTATGTCATAATAATTTTTAGCCTTTAAGATGATACAAAACTCTTTGTTGCTTATTCTGCAATGGAAATAACATGTCTCTAGCCTCTGGGAATTGTTTTTCAAATGCAATGAAACATAGACCACATAGCCTGAAAACAAAATTTAACCAGTGTCTAGTCTTCTGTGATGTGAATTGGCCATGAGTCTGTTTCCCTGATCAGTGCCACCAGCTTGACTTTCTCCATGCAGTCACTTTATATTTCCATCAGGAAGCTATAAAAGCAGAACACTGGGTCAGCTGAGGTAATTGATTTGTCAGAAAATTTGGGACCCCAGGAAGAGAAAGAAAACACAAGAGATACTTTTTAATGTATGGAATTAATTAAACCAAAGAGGACACTGGCTGCTTGGATGGTTTAAAAAAAAACCCGATTAAATACAACCATGGATGATACATCTGTTAGTTGTGTAATAGCATCTTCCTCCTAGGAGAGAATGGCTTTTGTTCCTCTCCATCTTCTTGTTTATGAGCTTCCAAGGGAAAAGCAGCTGGCTGGCCAGAAGTGGAGAGTGATGGTCTAGATCAGGAATGGATCATCTGTGGTCCTACAAATGCTGTGCCTAGCCATTGGGGTAGGATATTAATGGTTGAGGGACATTCACTTTGAGTAGCACCGGTAGAAAGAATCCCCACATACAAACAACCAAGGGATTTAGTAAAAGTCCCTAGACACCCTGTTCAACCCTCAAGCAAGGAATCAATTCACTCAGCCATAAGTAACAGAGACACTGTAAAACAGTGTCCTCAAGTGACATCTAAGAGAGGCAACTCAGAAGGATATCATAGTTAGTGGTATCAACATTTGCCAGGAAGGGCACAGACTTCCTGTCTAGTTCTTGGCTTAAGTCACGCACCATGGGACTAAGGCCATCTCCAATCTACACGCAGGATGGAAGTCATCTAATCTAAGACTCACTGGAGCTAGAAGACCATCACATGCTCTAGAACTCTGCACAAGGAAAGGATACTGAATTTGTTGCTGTTGTGTGCCTTCGGGTCATTTCCATCTTATGAAGACCCCAAGCTGAACTTGTCATGGTTCTGTTGTGAGTTTTTATCTATCTTCCTCTGAGTCTAAGACGAATTATTTATTATTTACAGTATTTATATTCTGCCCTTCTCACCTCACAGGGGACTCAGGGCGGATCACAATGTACATATACATAGCAAACATTCAATGCCATAGACACACAACATATATAGACAGACACACAGAGGCTATTCAACTTTCCAGCTTCATGAGGGTATGCTTCGAATTCCAGCCACCAGGGGAGCTGTTGCCACCCACTTGTGACACCGATGGAGCACTTCCTCATTCTTTTGCACACTGCTGGAGAGTTTTATGGCATTGCAAATTAGTTAAATTAGCCTCCCCACATAAGCGGTACTTAAATTTCCTACTTTACAGAAGCATTTGAACTCATGACCTTTCAGTCAGTAGTGATTTTAATGCAGCTGACTCCCAACCGGCTGTGCCACAACCCAGACTATGACCTGCCCAAGATCACATAGGCTTCCATGGACAAAAAGGGATTCGAACCCTGGTCTCTACAGTCACAGCCATACCCTCAAACTGACTCTTACCGATATGGGAGGCTGGCAAGTAATTCTACAGTATGGCTATGTTTATGAACTTTTTTTTCTATGACACCCTTACCACAGCCTCTCTTGGGCAGCCCAGATGTCTACCTAGCCATAGTAAAGCATTCACAACTCTTTTTACTTGTTCAATTTGCCCCTCTCTGAGTTTTTTGACAGGAGGGGGGGAAACCCAACATGCATGTGTTAGCATTGCCAAGATTCTTCCACATGCTCAAGCGATATAAATTAAAATGTATCTAATAACACAAGATAAGCATGAGCCAAGATTATATCCACTGGACCTGGACCAACTATAGCATCAAAATCACGGTGTACCTTAATTATTTAGTCTGCTAAGCTTTTCACAAATTATCCTCAGCAGGTTGCTAAGTGTCTGGAGTCTTTTCTTGTGGGAAAAAGGATCCCAAGCTCCCCAAATAGCTCTGCTGGATAACACTGTGCAGATGAAGAAGTAGCAAGAAGGATGG